AGTGGTCTAGGCTTGTTACAACAAAATTAGTTTGCATCTTGGTTATTACAGTATCTGGAACTGATATTTGGGCAGGATATTACAGCGTTTCAACTTGTTTCGTTGCCAATTTATTGTTTACCGAGCTACATGTTGCAAAGGTAGCAATATGCTTGGGTAAAAATCTCCTTAACTTGGAAAAAGTGTATCTTCTGATTTTATTCCCCTTGTTAGCCTAAATGCCTGAATATAGTTATTGTGACATCTTTAAGATCTGTTTTGAATACTCTTTGAGCCCCAATAAATTAATGTTTTAATTTTTTTTCTCCCTGCTACTCTTAGTTTACTGATGCCCTGTTTCATTCCTCAGACAGTCTGCTGATTTAAAAATGTAGCATTCCGTATGTATTTATTTCTCTCCCTTGCCAAAAAGATTTCCTAATTCTGCTTGTTCCAAGCCAAGGAAATGCTCTAAAACACTATACCAATCTACTGCACTGAGGAACATTTTATTGATCCTTGGGTTCTGTCAGCCCAACTTGCCTTTGTGTGAATTGGATTTGATGGGTAGAATAGTTCTGTGCTGGTTGCGAAGAGCTCATGTTGAGGTTGTTTTTAATATTCAGCAGATTGTCTTCCTTTATATTGTATCTTTTTTTTATGTTGCATGTTGCTTTTTGGTATCAGCCTGACTATTTTTGCCCAGTGTATAATAGTTCTGCTGAAGTTTTACTGTTTGTTGGTGAACATATCTTCATAAGGAAATTTTGGAAAATTCATCAAACTCAATGGATTCGTTTCTTCATAACCCACTTGGAATTATTCCTAATAAAATGATAAAATGTATAGTTCTGTGTATTCTCTTCTTGATTCCTGAAATAGTTGAATACAAATTATCATTTATTCTTTCTCCATATACTGAGCTTTCCTGCAGCTTGTATATGGACACCAGTCTCAAATTTTCACTTGTTTGGAGCTGTGTGGAGTGGGACATGGAAGGGAGGCAACCAAGTTGTATACAGTGCAGTAGAGTAGCTGTCATTGGGGCTTACATAATTCTGTAATGTCTTTTGAAGTTGTAAATCTAAAATTCCTTTCAAGATGTCCAGATATGAAAATACTAACAGTTAAAAAATTGTAATAAAACAAATTTGAACTGCCTGAAAAGCATGCATGTCTGTTTCATAGTTTTATCTACATGTCAAAACCTACATGGGTCCCAGCAGGAGAGTCACACGTTCTGTTGGAGGCTGGCTGGGAAGGTAACCTGAGTGTTTTTACAGAGATATAGCAAATATTATAATAGTGCTGATAATCACCCCCCAAAAATCATCTCTACACAACTGCTGCTGGCTGATTTCATATTTCTGTCCCCTTACACCTTTGTAGTTCAAAAGGCATAAATTAATATGTGTTTTGAGGCTGCTACTGATGGGTAGTTTAGAATCTATTTTACTATTGCCTGTCTGCTATATAGAAGCAAATATTGCTCAACCTTCCCACTAAAATGTGCTGTCCTATTGATTGGATGTCTTTAGGAAGCCAAAGCATGATTGTGTTGCAGTTTCAGGCTAAGTGCTTCTCATTTTCCACCCAGGTCTGGTTACCCTTGCTACAAGAAATGCCAGTGACAAGGTCTGGTAAATTCAAGCTAGTTTTGGTTCAGAACACCTTCCTGGGCAGCTTCTGCTCTAAGTGAGGTTTAAGTTCTTAGGAGGGGCTGTTACTGTGAGCACAGGTAAGCAGGGAGCATCCCAGAGGTTTTGAATGGAGTCCTTAAATGTCTTCAGTGTGTAATGGAAACCCAGGAGACAGTGTAAGGTGAGAAGGGTTTTGCCTGCACCTTTAATGAATTGCTGATTACTTATTAACCAAAGCTGATATACCCATGCATTTGATCAGTAGCTGTTGGTGTGCACATTTCTAGCAATGCAGTTCCTTGAATTGAACCTTAAAAGGTACACCTTGTTCAGAAGAGACAGCTTGTCTCTAATACAAACTGGTTTTTGTAGTCCCAGTAGGTTAAAATAAACAATGCTTGTTACACAGTTAGAGGTACTCTTTAAATGAAACTGTGGATACTTAAATTAGGCCTATTACCATGAAGGAAACATTTTGCTTGGTAGAGATTTAATTATTTAAATGAGCAAGTATTCAGGTTTAGGAAAGCTCTGTTGAACCACTATTCTTTTCAGTTGCAGCATGGGTATACAAAGTTCATATTTCTGAGTCATCATGCTTGGATTTTTGTATCAGTAGGTGTAACTGCTATAAAATGAATAATTTCTCAAAGTCAGTAATGAAGATCTTGAGCCTCATTTAAGAGTGGTGGAGTCTGCATGACAGTTAAGGCTACAGCTTGCCCTGAAAGGCAGGAAGACAATGTTGGGTATCAGTAACAATGAACAGTACAGCCCTGTTCTTCAGAGAAGATGAAATTCCCATGAGCACTCCATGTTTTCATGTCTCTTAGGAGCTTAGATACTAACGTGGTTTGTCATTTCCCTATCAGAAGTCAAGTGCCTGAACTGAGCTGCTGTCCCTGAAGTTCAAAATCTTGAGCAGGCATGAGACTCCTAGAAATGTGTTCCTCATTCTCTGTAGTGACAGGAAATTCTGAGTTCCAGTAGCTGAAATGCCTCTGTATACATTACCTTCTATATTTACACAAATGGGTAAGTTCTGCTGCACTGGGGAATTAGACAAGTAATATTTGTGTACAGGAAGATTTATTTCAGTGTGTCAGATGGCCAGCTTAACTATAAGAACAAAATACTGCATAAAGAGTGGATTTTCTTTTATTTGACCATGGTGACACAATTTATTTCTCAAATATTAAGTACATGTATGATTTTAATTTTTTAATTGCTTGCAAGAATAGCTCAGGTTGTTTAAAACATTGGTTTGGGGTTTGCCAGTAAAGAAAATTCAGAGCCCAGTTATTGTCTAAGAAATGCTTCTATACAAAGAAATGCTTCTAACAAAGGTCTGGACAAAGGCAGTTTGAGTATAATACTGTGAAACTTTGCACATCACCTTGTCCAGTATGCCTTTCCCACCCTTATCAAGAATGGAGACTTAAGAAACTACATTTCATATGCTGCCATTGGATTTGTGAATAAAGCTGAGCTGCCAAAACAGAAATGTTTAAGGCCTTTCCTCTTACTGGGTAGGAGTTGGAAGACTTGAAACAATTTTCTTTCTATGCCAAGAATATGAGAAACAAGGCAACCACACAATTAATTTGACATGTTGAAAGCTCTGATGCCTTAGCACACTGGCTATTTTTCCCCTTGGTTTTTTCATACCATTTTCTTTATCCTTCTCTCAGTCATATTTGGCATTCTTGCTTGCTTCATCATGATACATATAAGTGCTTTATTTAATGCTTGAATTATACTTTTCAAAAATAGCAATGATACAAGAGTTGTGCAAGAATTCAGGTACTGTCACAGGAGGATAAGAGACCTCTTTGTCTGGAACAGATATGGTCAGGGGAAAGAACAATAGGAGTTTCAAGCTGCCAGACCAGTCTGAAGGATCTGGCAGAACTTGGTTGATTTTGTACGTATCAAATACACAGGTAAACATTTCACAATATCCAGAGCCTAAAATGAGCCAAGTGTGCTCCCTTCAGGAGGTCAGTGTTTTGAGTGCCCTTAGTTGTGTAATATTCTTGTGAGTGATGAGTTTGTCCACAGCAGGAGCTACTGTGGAAGAAACTTCTCCCTCCTGAGACAACAGCCAGGCAGGAGGCAGCACTGTCTCTCTTTAAGGAATCAGTGATGGGAAATTCAAATAGGAGGCAAATAGATTTTCCTTTTTCCTTAACAGGAGGTCTGGGAAAGTAGAGTAACAAAACCAAAAAATCCCATCCACATTTACAGAGATGCAAAGAAAATCATACCCAGTTTTTTGTTGTGAAGGGCATGGAACTTTCCAATTGCTGGATGAGGAACAAGTACAGGTGAGTTTAGGTTTATGAAATAAAATGCAGACAAGTTGGATGGGACTTGTACAAATGTGAGTTCTGGATGTGATTTAGAGAGGAAGAATTAATTCCTGGGCAAGGTCCAGTGGTAAAGGGAGAGCCAAAATGGGAGTTAAAAATCAACGTAAGTGCAGTAGGAAGCACCATCTGTTACCTTACACAGATGTAAATACAGCTTGGGGGCTCTGGGCCAAAGGGATACCTAAAGGTTTTTTTACCCCAAAAAACTCAGGGTTTTTGCACTGTGCCTTTCCTAATCTAGACCCTGGTGCTGCATTCCCATTCTTGACATGTGGCAGGTTCCTAACAGATTGCTGCTACTGGCAGTCAGCCCCTGCTGCTGCAGTTTCCTAACTGGAGGATACTGGGTCTGGAGATTCCCCAGCATCAGCTCACAGGACTGAATATCTCCTAAACATAGTACAGGATTATCTGCCATGTGCAAGGGCCTGCTCCAGTGCCGTGTTTGCCCTCACCACTTGCTTCCTGCAGCTTCCCTTTGCACTCCCTCTCCCTGGGCTGCAGGGAGGCAGAGGCAGCAGCCCAAGTGCCAGCAGAGCAAGCAGGACGGAGCTGCTGTTTCTGGGAAGGGAGGCAGAGCACCAGGCAAGTCTGTCCTCTGAGCAGCTCCATCTTCTGGTTCCAGCGACAAGTTACAAGTTTTAATGTTTTCGGTTAGGATAAAACAAAGTAACCCAGTTGTAATGGCTGGTAAGGACAAGAATGTTCTGTTGAGTTACAGGGGGAGCTCAGTTGGCCCGTGTAAGTTATACAATCTCACTTCCATCACCCTTCACAGCATAGCAATTACTATGGCAAGACACAGCACCAGCAATCCTCAGAAATAGCTCACCTGAAAGTGACTTCCTGGTTTGAGTAGTGTTTAAACAGCTGAGTGAATCCCAGCTACAGAGCACCAGAATGTAGGGGAGGTGAGCAGCTGTGCAAGAGAGAGTGCACATCAACCCAGGCAGACTTGTTTTGCCATGGAAGACACCAGTAACTAGGAAAAAACCCAAACTGACAACAGTGACAGACAATTGATAAAGGGAGTTTTATTAGGTGAAAAAGGAAATGAATGGTTTCCAAATGCTTTTTGTTTCCCATGGATGAATGATGCAGGGCAAGAAGCTTGTTAAATGACTGAACCCACTCCCACACATTCTGTGAAGGAATGGATACACTTCCCTGCATCTGACAAAATAGGGCAAACTAGGCTATTCCTTGAAAGAAAAAATGCATGTAAAAACACTACAAATTCAGGTTGTCTTTGTATGCAAGAGAAAAACAAAATATAACCATTGTGATAAAGTTTTGCAAGTCACTTGTGTTTCTTTGTAAAGATTTAGGCACAGATAACTAATGCACCACATTGTTCTGTATCTCTCCCCACCTGAAAACAGATGATACTGATAAAAAGCTCCCTCCCATCCAAAGCTGCTTGTCCTAAACTCCAGTATCTTTTATTGCTGATGACTCAAACCAGAAGGAACATATGTTCAAAGTAGATGCTTGTTTGTTCATGTAGTCCAATTTCACAAGGTGTTAACATTATCCTCATTACCCATGTTATGTGGGCAGACAAATTGCTTCCAAATCAATTATAGCCTTGAATTTAACATGGTTGATTTTTGACAACATCTACTCACTGATAATTAAGAACATCATTTCAGAAGTTGGTAGGTACAAGTACATTGTTCATGCAACTTACTAGAAGTTGTGCCATAGTAATGGTAAGTGAACAAGACAATTTATGAACTTAAATTACCATTATATTAATCAAAGTGGAGTCAACTAAATCCATAAGTTTCAGTTCTGTGTTCATTTCTGAATTAAACAGGGTTCAATTTGTAGACTGTCTTACAAATCACATTAAATTCCTTTTTTTAAACAAAATAATTTTTAATTCTTTAAAAACACCACTAAAAAGGTATATGATAATCCAATTTTCAAAACCCTGTCTTCAATGTATTTTTCCCATTAGCATGTAAAAAAGGGGGAAATTGTCATGCAAACATTCTGAATAGTGTGACAATACTCAGTAGAGCCATTAAACAAATGAACTCTTCATTAATCATTTTGGCCTTCCTTTTAGTAGCATACAAGTCAGGGTCTAACCTCAGTTGCCCAGCAGTACATTAAATTAAATTTCTTGTTTAAAAACCCCCAAAAGCACCATTCCAGAGCTACTCTATTTCCACTTCAAGTCACATATAAGTGCTATATGATCAGAAGGATGTGAAACACTTGGCAAAGCCTGGTGGGTTGTTATTTCTTCATGACTTGGCAATGGAATAACTTGTTCCACCTCTAGAGCATTTCTGTCAATGAAAATGTAGTCCAGACATCCGTGAAAGCCACCAACGTAGTTTGTGTAAGCAGGTTCTCCACAAGCACTTAGCAGTTTGAAAGGATGGCTTAGAGTCATACTGCACCTTTCTTCCTCCCCATTTGAGACCCAGTCTTCATGATCTTCAGCAATGCCACCACTGCTGATAAAACTGTAGGCTCCTGAGGAGGGTGTGCTATTAAAATCTCCACAGAATATGACTGGGATCCTGGGGTACAAGTCACAGGCTACGTGCTGGATGTGAGACATGGCCACAGCAACCTGGATCAGACGGATGTTCCCACCTAAGGACATAAAAAGTATTATTTCAAATAATGCAGAACAGCACTGGAGGTGCTCACTGGATTGCTCATTTAAGCACATATAGCTCTGAAACTGCAATCCTGAATTTTAGAATAATTTTCATGAATTAAGAAGCCTTTAAAGTTTATGACTATGAAAGTTTTTGAGTAACAATTTCAACTTAAACTCACCCAAGCATGATCTCTGAAGCTTTAACACCCATATACAGAAATTTTCCATTTCATGGCAACCATCCTAATAATATTCCCAAAAAGGTACAGAACCAAAAGAAAACTAACTGAGCAGAAGAAGAATCTCCCCTAACAGCTTCTGGAGCCCAATCTGGTTGCCCCTCCTGGCAGTACTCTGGGAGAGCTCCATGTTCAACAGGACTGGGAAACCATAAGCACACACAAAATTCTCTCTATTTTATGGGCTGCTTTTTGAGTGAATTGTGTGACTTGCCTTGCTTTCAGCTGGATTCTACTGACTCCTAGGCACACTAAAAAATAAATATATAAACAGACCTAGGAGTCTGGCATGATTTCATCTAGATAAGAAGTGAGGCAGGAAACCCTCAGTTCCAGAAGAAAAGGCTATAGCTGCAAAAGAATGGTGGGAAATCTATTCTCCCAAGGTAGAGCAAAAACCTTTCCAAACCCAGTTACCCTACATGCAGGAATGTACCAAAATTACCTTTGGGGTGCCAGTATAGGTGGGTATTTGCTACACAAAGTTTCCTGGCAGGATCAGTTGTAGACTGAAGAACTGAAACCTTTAAGAGAGAAAACAGTGTTTGTTAAATCTTAAATAGAGAGGTTATATATTTTAAAATGCACTAGTTAGCTTATGCCTCTGTGGCAATCCAGTTCAAAGAATCTGATGCTTATAACCAATAAACTCAATTTAGGAGCTGTACTGTTCAATAGTCTTCTATGTAAGGTCTGGGTATCAGCCAAAATATTACCACTATATCATTTAACAAACATTCTTTTGACTGTGTCCATTTTGGCCATATTTTTCCATAAGATATAGTTCAGGCTGTCCTATTCTGAATACATTTGTATTCACTCTCTGCAACAGAACTGGAGCTAAATCTCCATTTTCAGCAATCAAATGTAGCATTCTATAATTGTTAAACTGAATAAAATTTGGAGGTGATTTCAATTATCAAAGAAATCCCATTAGTCCTACTCAGTCCATGAGCAGGAAACTTTTACTGGTGTTTCTGCAGTTCTTGACACAGCCTTTTATCTTACACACTTGTACTTGCACACCACTCTGTGGGAAGAGCCTCTGGCATCAGGAAGCTCACACACCTGTCCAGCCTTGTTTGTCTCCCTCCTGTCACTTGCTAAAGAGGCATTACAAAGTATACTCAACTAACTTAAAATTGATTTATAAGATCGAAGTTTTATAAAGTACATTCTGACATATAAGAGTAAGTAATGAAACACTGGCTGCCAATACCATCAGCCAGGAATCACTACCTGGCCCAGAATCTCAACAGCTGTCTTCATTCTAAAGCAAAATAATATTGCCTTTTTTTATCAAATTTGGGTAATTCCATATATGCAGTTCAGTAACATCTCAATGTTTTATTTTTGTTCCTAAGCTGATCTTCTCCTCTATTCATTACCCCAGCTAACAGAGAACAAAGTTACATGTTTCAAACTCTTAATCCCTCATCTCCATTCTACTGCCTGAGGCTCAAGAATGCTGGTCCTGCTGCATCTGGAGACAGTGGGAGGAGAAGAAAGGGGGGGAAAAAAAGGAAAAGAGAAGGAGGCATGTCCAAGCTGGTACCTGCAGCACAGAGGATCTCTGCAGCACCTTCTCCTGCACCAGGGGGTACTTGGCCAGCTGCTCACACAGCTCCTTGTGCAGCGGCTCTGAGAGCAGGGCTTCGCTGAAAGCGATGTCGTGCTGGCTGAGGAGGCTGAACTTGTCCCTGCGATAGAAAGTGGCGAGGCCCTCGTGCTGCTTCTCCTTGATCTTGAACAGCCCCTCCAGTCCAAAAGCATCCAGCGCCGGGGCCAAGCTGTCCACGAAGACAGATTTATCCACCTCTTGCAAGCAGATGAGATCGGCGCTGTAGCCCGCCAGCTCCTTCTTGAGCAGGTTCTGGCGGTAGTCAATCTCCAGGGCGTAGGGAGCGCAGTAGGGGTAGAGCACGGTGCGGGAGAACTCCGTCTGCGCGTACGTGTCGGCCAGGATGTTGTAGGAGACGGCGCGGACGGAGCCGTGGCCGCACACCTTCTTAGTGTAGAGGTGCCGGGCGTCGAAGGTGCAGGCG